TCTGGCTGGCTGACTCCTTGGCCTCCTTCCCCCAGACTTGCGTCCTTACCTCCTCCCTCTAGTTATTACCAACGAAAGGCAAAATAGGAAGAGGAAAAAGAATGATTTCATAATGCTTCGAGCAGACTTTATCTAACTTTCTTTGTTCTTCATTAATATTTATAATAGATGACTTTCATTGTTTGGTTGTTGTGTAAAACAGGAAGCAATCTCAGCCTTTCTCAGCAACACAGGCTATCAAAGCTCCCCAGAGAAAAGTCAGACTGATATTCTCAAGAGATGGATTCCAAGGAGCTAATTTGCCACATCATCAAAGATACTTCATCATACCAAAACCTAGACCTCTTGATACTTAAAATTATAGATGTCACTGCCTATAGTTCTCATCTTCAATTGGGGTGGGAAGAAAGAAGGCAATTTGTAGCACTTTGTTACCACCCCCCCACACACACACAGTTGGAGTATGCCACTAATGTGTCAAATAATCTGTTCACAGAAATCACTGCACAGTCAGATGCTAGTGAAATTCGACAAGACTGGAAACCTACATTCCTTAGTAATGAAGAGTTTACACAGTTAATGTTAGAGGTATGTCCAGATTTAATTTTTGAAAAGTTGTATTTCCCTCAAAAATATTTATAGAGGTGACTACTTTTAATTAAGTTTTAGCAATATTAATTTAATATTATATAGCCTTTTTGATGTAAAATATCAGTGTAAATCTAATGTAAGCTATGTCTTCAATTAAAATTAACGGAAATAAGTATTGTAAGGAAAAAATACTGTATGGTAAAGCAATGCTAAATTTTCACATTTTCAGTTCTTAGTTTTTGAGAGGGTTAATAAAAGTTAGAAACCTGTCATCACCAAGTTCTCAACCTGAGATAACTACCACAGTATTCAAACAAAGAATAGTATTTGTTACTCATCACTTGTTTTTAGAAAATATAGCCTCCTGGCAGTAGGATATTTTCTAACAATAAATTAAAATTCACCTTAAAAAATATACAAAATAATAATAAAGTATTTTGAAAATACGCAAAAGGGGAAATATACATTGAAAAGCAACTGTTCTTAATTCAAGTACAAATTTTTAAAAGGAATTAAGTAAATGTCCTCCTGAGAAAATTATTTTTGAAAACAATTCAGTACAATTTTGCTTATAATTGCTAAACGTAATACCTCATAAAATGCACAAAAATTTTGAGCCTTGTACTTGTCAATTTCATTTTTCGGTTTCTACTCTTATTTAAATAGAATAATATAGGTACCATCTGTGTACAGAAAGTATACAGAATTCTGTATCAATTTCCATAAAACTAATAATCGATTGGAAACAGAGGTCTTATACTTTAGAGGTAATTAAAAGCTAGAAAAAAATAGATACATTACAGGAAATAGACATGGGAAGAATATAGGAAAGCAGTTGAGGTGGAGATGTGTGAGTTAAGTTTGCTAGCCTGTTAACCTATTTTTTGTGTTATTTTAGACCTTAAACATTTATCCATGTTATGTATATATATGTAATGGCCATGTCTCTCAATTATCTTTATATGTTGACTAAAGTCTGGATCAAGAAAGAGTATTTTCAAGTAATGAACTAATTTTCTGTTTATAATTTAGATGAAATGGCTAATTACTGGATTAATTAAATCTTGTATTAAGCACAAATGTTACCATATGAAAATTTGTTGGAATATGAACATACTCTAAAAATTTAAACTTTTGGTTAAAATCTAGAAGATAATAACTGAGCACTTTCCCACACTAACTCATTGAATCCTCACAACAATCTTAAGAAGTAGGCACTCTTCTTATCCATATATTACTTACATGTGAGCAAATTGAGATGTAAAGAGATTATGAATCTTGCCTAGAGTAACACAACTAATGAGTACCTCAACTGGGATTCATTGTAGGCAGGTTGGCCTCTGAGGCCAGGCCCTTAGTCACTGTGCATGCTGCCTCTCATGAAACTTATTTTCAGTGAAAGTTAGCTTTGGCACCAAACTTTAAACTAAGTAACCACCAATTTGCTCTTTAAGTTAGTCTCATCTTATTTTACAAACCAAATAATAGTTGCCAATTTTGGTAATTATTATATTTTTTTCCTTGAAAGTAGTTTAACATCCAAAATGATCCCTTTAGGTGTAAGTAATACATTTGTGAAAGAGTATAGTCAAGCAAATGTTTACAACAGAGAAAGGAAGTAACTCATTTAATTACTCTTTACTTTTTATTTTATGATTATATTATCAGTGTAAATTGTTTAATAAAATCTTCTAATTACTTAACTGCTGTGTATGAAAAGTTTCTTATAAATTCAAAAATTAGTATAATACCTACTATCATTTATTAATAATCTGAATGAAGGGAATTATTCGTTTCACTAATAAGCTAAACAGAAAAGTGTTGTCTTGAATCTCTTTGGAATAGATAATTTTGTTGTTGCTGAGAATATACCAAGGCTTTGAATTGGTTCATTCAGTATACGTAAGAATCACCTGGGGATCGTCAAAATGTTGATTCTGACTCAGTATATGTGGGATGGAAATACAGAATCTCAGTAGAGGGTTGAACCAGAATGAACTGGTTTGAAGCCTGGAATATACACAGTATAAGTATACGAATTCAAGTGTTGCTACATGTACAATTCATTGACATTGATTACATTCTTCAAGTTATGCACCTATTCTCACCCTCCATTTCTGAGTTGTTCCTCCCCCATTAACATAAACTCACTGTCCCCTAAGGTTTCTTTTCTAATCTTTTGAGTTGCTTTTGTAACTTTGATCTCAAGTAGGTAGTTCTTAAAAAAGCAAGTGCTCAAAGTAGACATTTTTTTACTAGTTGAGCTGAAGTATTATTTGGTTTTAAGATGCCATGAGAATTTGAAATTCTGTTCTGCATTTTACCCCTTTTGAGTGGGATTCTTCTACAGTCTTTGATCAAAATGTTTAGTAATCATAGCCGAGCACTGCCCAGTTCTTGGCTCATGGCAAAGGAGGCAGTTCTTCATGGAGGCAATTAGCCATGCATTCCATATCCTCTTCCTATTCCTGACTCTCTCTCTGTTGCTTCAGAAGTGTAGAGACCAATTATCATGCCTTATGTAGCTGATTGTAAGCTTTTAAGACTCCAGACACTTGCAATGAACTATGAGGTAGAACAGAGTCAATATATGTGTTACTAGACCAGTTAACTGAGATGTCTCATGAAATTATGACCCTAAACCTTCAAACCAAGGAACCACATCTCGTGAGGTTTTTGGTTGTATTTAAGTAGTCTCAGCAGCTACTTTGTTTGTTGTTGTTGTTATAAATAGCTCTCTCTCACAAGTTTTGCCAATTCAGCTTTATACAATATATCACTTATTGACATCAGTTACAGTAATTTGCTCTGTACCCCTACACTTACATGATTTTTCTATTGCATTTAACTCTTTTCCCTCCTTCCTTCCTGTTGTTGTTGTTGTCATGTGCCATCAAGTCTTCTCCGACTCATAGCGACCCCTCCTTGGGTTTCCGAGGTGGAATCAGTATGGAAGTAGATTGCCCAACCTTCGTTTTGAGGAATGGCTGGTGGTTTGAACCACAGACTTTCTGATTAGCAGTCAGATGCCTTAGATACGCCACCTTCTGTTTTGGTAACCCTAAGAGGCTTTGGTCTATGCATTTACTTTTTCTTGTCTTTTTATATAAGTGAACTCACTCACTGCCATTGAATCAGTCCCAACCCGTAACTACCCCTCCTTGGGTTTCTAAGGCAGTATCTCTACTGAGGTAGCTTGCCTAATCTTCCTTCCTAGGAGCAGCTGGTGGGTTTGAACTGCCAGCCTTCTAGTTAGCAGTCAAATGCCTTAGGCACTATGCCACCAGAGCTCCTATATAAATGAAGTCATACAATTTCAGATATAGGCTATATCTTGGAATGATAAAGTTGCTGGTAAAAGAGATTAGATAATTCATTTAAAGCTCTTCATGTTACAAATGAAGCCAGAGAAGTTGTAACTTATACAAGGTCAGATAGCTGTTTGTTGGAGGAACTGGGGCTAAGATCTTAAAATTTGCTTAGAACTTATGTGTTGTCTCTATTGCTTTATCTTTCTTTCTTTCTCTCTCTTCCTCCCTCCTTCCAGTCTTCCATTGCCAACTCTTCCCTCTCCCTTTTGTCTGTTACCTGAGAAATATTCCTTTCTTGCTACCTTTGGAAGATTGGGAGTAGACAAGGAAATCAGGGCAGTTTAGTCTGACACATCTCTATGTGAAATCATCCATATAGAGATCATCCAGTAAACTGTAGTTCTGTTTGCTTGGCTGTTTTTAGTGCTCTCTAATAATATAGGTGGGAAAGGCTAGTGCCCTGCCAACCACAAGGAGGTATTATTTCTCTATAACCTCCATTCCAGTTCTCCCTACACCAAATACTAAGCAAACAATGAAGTCCTTTTTTTGTAGGTCAACTCAAAAAACTAAACGCACTGCTGTTGACTCTAATCCAACTCATAGCGACCCTTCCTTGGGTTTCCGAGGTAGTATCTCTATGAAAGTAGATTGCCCAGCCTTCCTTCCAAGGAGTGGCTGGTTAGTGGTCAGATGCCTTAGGTACTACGCCACCACAGCTCCCATTGTAGGCAAGTAGATATCAAATAAGAGGAAAACCAGCAGTTTTAACTAATGAACCATATACCACATGGGGAAGACATAAGTTTTACATCGGTCTTGATATAAGGATGTCCTTTTCTCTCTGGTTTGTCCTTTGACATCTCTCCAATCTTCTTCTTCAAGTCCCTAGTCAAGGTCCATTCAGTTTGATGTACCTACTTGTCTTCTCCATTCTGCCTTCTACCTCCATTTGCTGACATGGCATGACTCAAATTGAGATCCAGCTGCAAACATCCATTAATAATCAGAACATGGAATGTACAAAGTATGAATCTAGGAAAATTAGAAGTTGTCAAAAATGAAATGGAACACATAAAGATTGCTATTCTAGGCATTAGTGAGCTGATATGGACTGGTTTTGGCCAAATTGAATCAGATGACCATCTGATCTACTGTGCTGGGAATGACAGTTTAAAGAGGAATGGCATGCTGTTCATCATCACAAACGATGTTTCAAAATCTGCCCTAAAGTACAATGCTGTCACTGACAGGATTAATATCCATATGCCTACAAGGAAGACAAGTTAATACGACTAGTATTCAAATTTATGCACCAACCAGGAAAGACAAAGATGAGGAAATTGAAGGTTTTTATCAGCTTCTGCACTCTGAAATTGACTGAACATGCAATCAAGATGTGTTAATTATCACTGGTGACTGGAATGCAAAAGTTGGAAACAAATAAGAATCGTTGGTAGATGGAAAATTTGGCCTTGGTGACAGAAATGAGACTGGAAATCTCATGATAGAATTTTGCAAGACCAACGACTTGCTCGTTGAAAATACCTTTTTTCAGCAACACAAAACGGTGGCTATACATGTGGACTTCGGCAGATGAAATACACAGGAATCAGATTGACTACATCTGTGGCAAGAGGAGATGGAAAAACTCCTATCTTCAGCCAAAACCA